CTCGGAGCTCATTGACTCATAAGCCGTTTGGAATGTCCAAGTTAAACGGTTTTCACTGTTGGCTCGCGCGGCAAGCTTAGCGCTTTTTGGTATAGACAGGATCCGGTAAATTTCATTGTGACCTCTTGTGTAACAAACCCATTAGTATGTCGTAAAGGTGGGCAGATTAACATACATTAGTCATGTTATACAAGCTGTTATTACAGGGAGCTTTATACTGTAACAAGTGAGAATAAGCAACGTTTTACGTAACAGCACGGTCGACTACTCTCCTAAACTGCCCTTTTGTGTAATGTCGTTCACCCCGAACTGTATTTCATGGCTGTGTATGTTGATAATAGTTGTCCATCTGTCGACATTGCTGTTTTAATATAAGTGTTATAAGTGTTGCAAAAAGTCAAGTTATTACAAACACAACGCCCAGCTTGTCATTTCTTCTACGCGCACAATTATATATTGTGTTATATAACCAACTATATATATATATATATAGTTGGTTATATAACACAATAGCACAATAGGTGGGGTGATGTGAAATGGGGTTCAACGTCGAGTTCAATATGATTACATTTATACAGCGACGTGTGTGTGTGTGTGTGTGTGTGTGTGAGTGTGTGTGTGTGTGTGTGTGTGTGTGTGTGTGTGTTTGCACTAGTTCGAAATATACTGTTTTATACAGCTATATACCACGGAGATACCATGACGAAGTTTTAACATGAATACCCTGCCACCGAGCCGACCAGTCCTTGCAGGGTAAGTACATCCATAAACGTCCTATGGCAGACGCGGCCGGGGATCGAACCCTCGACCTTCCACTCACCGGGCAGACGCTCTACCACTTGACCGCGGATGCGTTCATACGCTAGCAGGAAATTGAACCAAGTCATGGGACATTTCCTTGTTGAGCTAGACAGAAACAGGGTCCATCATCGCGTGTCATTGGTATATACCGAGTGAAAATACACAAACAGTGGACCCGAGATAAACAACCGATACTGTGTGTAATTTATATAATCACGAACAAAGTTTTCAAACGATCTTATGTGTACTGATTGGATAACATCTGAAATAGGGATTTATTAAAACTTAAAAGCAATACAGCTGATTAATTCAATATCAGTTTGAAGCATTGTAGCAAACCGGATGTTATAATCTGGCATGGCTACTGAACGTATACTTATATCGCAGCACAATGAAAACACAATATCAGTTATACAAACGATATACAAATAATATTTGTTTTGTTTGTTTGTTGTTTACGCCGCACTCAGTAATATTCCAGGTGTATGACGGCGGTCTGTAATTAATCGAGTCTGGACAAGACAATCCAGTTATTGATATCATGAGTATCGATCTACGCAACTGTGACACGATGATAGCATCAACTAAGTCAGTAAGCCTGACCACCCGATCCCGTTAGTCGCCTTTTACGACAAGCATGGGTTGCTGAAGACCTATTCTAACCCGGAATCTTCCCGGGACAGAAACAAATAATAGCTCCAGAGGTGGATCCAGAATTTTGAGAAAAGGGGGGATGCACATAATACCGTAAAAAGAGGGGTGGGGAGCGCACACCATGCACCTGCAGAATATGTACCGTTGCAATATGACCATAATTAATTGTCTAGCAATATCTATAATTATACGTTACGTTTTTGAATTGTTATTATAAATTTGTTGAATGTGCTCTAAAGGGCATTTACACGTCACATCCACATTAAATCCTACACCATCATACTATAACCTTGAGCCCAATTTTCAGATAAAGCTGTGGATTTATCAGAAGGTGGTGGAGTGTTTGGCAAAAAGTGGGTATTTTAAGAACGCTTCTCTTAGCATCTCTGCATAGCGTGTTTTGTGCGTTGCCGATTAATTTCCTTCCGCATTTCGCCATACACATACTCAAGAAAATCGTCTAGATCAGAAATTGTCTGCGTGCAGCTAATCTGCATGCACGGCGACCACGTGTTGTACCACCGTTAACAAAGCGACACGTTCTAGCCTGGCGCCAATTGTGTTCAGAGGGTAGAAACCGGAGAATCGCTGATGGTCTTGGGGAATGTGTTCAGATGAGTCCATGGAACCATGAGTCCCGTTCCACATCGCTATCTTAGCGCTAAGATGGTCGTTACTCACATACTTTAACGTAGGCTTACGATAGTCGTAGTGCTAAGATCGCTTTGTGCAACGGGGCCCTGGACGTTCTGGACAGGTGTCGACGTGTCCGAAGGCGTCCTGGCGAACGTCACGCAAATATCAACGTCAGGCAACATGACAGATTTGTGTTCGTGTCTGGAATGAGTGTGAGTGAGTATGGTTTTACGCCGCTTTTAGCAATATTCCAGCAATATCACGGCGGGGACACCACAAATGGGCTTCACACATTGTACCCATGTCGGAAATCGAACCCGGGTCATCGGCGTGACGAGCGAACGCTTTAACCACTAGGCTACCCGACCGCCCCTGTTTGGAATGAAATGGGGCGGGATCACTATGACTGCCAGAACGCCACTGCAAATTGTCTATGGAAGGGTCACTGGACAGTAGCACCGAGTCACCATTCAAACGCCAATAGTTGTGACGATTGCAAACCATGCTGGTCCAGGTGTTTTCTTTCAAGGCGATAAGGCTCGTGCCCACCGTGCATGTATCGCAACTGACAACCTTCAGCAACAAAGCATCGCCAGAATGCAAAGGCCAGCAACCAGTCCTGACCTTTTCCCCAAAGTGTACCCCTGGGTATTAATCGGAAGACTTGAATGCCATCGTCAAAGGTCGGACGTTAGCCGAAATGGGAAGACAAGGCTTCCTCAAATTGTCATTTGGAGATTGATTCGGACCATGCTACCGATTGAAGTAGCACAACATCCGGCCCCGACGTCCAGCGATACCAATTTTGCTTCCACGTCACCGTCTGGCATGCCAGGCTTGGTGAAGACAGCATCAGAGGTTAAGAAGACCAGACTGGAACAGTACACTGTTCACAGATGATTCTAGGTATCATCTGGACAGCTCTGGTGGTCGTCCACGGCTCTACAAACGGCGAGGAAAGAGTCACACAACCTCGCCAATTTGTCGAGGTGAAATGGGGTTTAACGTCACGTCTAGGATTATTACACTTATATGGCGACGTGCATGCACTGTGTATGTGTGTGTGGCTGCTTGTACTGGTCCGGACTAATGTCGATTTTATCGTGTAAGCCCACTGAGATAGCATAACGTAGTTAAACCATCTTCCCGAGGCAAGTGAGTTAACCGACTATTAAAGTCCAGTTTCCACCCTTGCCGAACTATGTTGGTATTATGGAGTTACGTTTTGGCTAGACTAACGAGTCTATGCATAGTCCAATCACAATCGCGCAACGAAATCGAAATCCGGTTTGTAAACTGTCATGCAGATTTCGATCGATTGCAGGATTTGCTAATCATTTGCACCGCCAACTCGCTGTCAACAGATATTTTCCAAATATTTTCCAAATATTTTCATGTTCTGAATCAAGGTGCTCACGTGATTTGATGCACTTCGCGATGTAAGACTCGTTTTATCACAATATAGATCTTGATTATCGATCAGATTGTCTTGACTGGGCGCCGACATTTTGTTTGAAGCAAATGCAAGTGATACGAGAGGTGGAATCTGATTGGTCCGTAGGAGAGGCATAGAAGGGCCATTACTCGTAATAGCCACTGGTGGCGCTACGATCCAGTCCAGGAATTCCAGCCTAGTTCGACAAGGATGGAAACTGGACTTTTAAAGTCAGTTAACTCCCTTGCCTCGGGAAGATGTAGTTAAACATGAACAGCCCGCTAAGACTCCGAGCCGACCAGTCCTTGTTTTATCCCTTTAATGCTGAGCGCCAGTCAGGGTTACAAGAACCATCTTTTAACGTCTTTTGGTATGACGAGGACCAGGATCAAAACCCGGACCTCCAGGTGGACGATTCACCACTAAACCATGGAGTTCATCAATTTGGGGATTCAATTGATTGAAGTGAAATGGTATGGATTCAATCAAACTTGCATTTCCTCAATTTGGGGATTGAAGAGTAATGGTATGGGATTGGCATCATTGTTAATTGCAATTTGAATGGCCTACTTGGGACCACATCGTTGGAGATTATGTTCCACCATGTGTGCAAAGGCAGGGATCCAAGTCAGGTGTGGTGTTAATGTTCTTGTTTATGAATATATAGTATTACAAACGTTAAACACTGTTTACTATACATTTTCAGCTTTTTGTAGCTATCCTGTATCAATTTTACAACTGAATGCATTTTTTCTGGTTTACAAACGTCTATTGAAACGCTTAAAACAAAGTTGAACATCTGACCTCTTAAACTGTTCTTTAATAAATGTATGGGAGATTTCTTTATCAAAATGAGGTAACAGTCATACGTAGATCTATATAGAGACGTATGTGTAGTTCAGGATTCCAGGTGTTTATTGTCTAAATGTTTCAAGTGATGAGACCTTGCTGATCAGTTAGTTTTCTGTGTGCTTCACTATCAGGCACACCATGAAGTTCATTCGTCACCACTCGCCCCTTTCCGTAACCTGCAAGAAGACTTGTCCCCCTATCGATGAATGTCATGTGCGAAAATATGACAAACCAATCAGAATGTGCGTATGATTTCAAGGGCTTCGTCAAAGTATCCCTCAGAAATAATTTTTGATTTTACATATGTCATGCATCTAAAAATATACCCAAGACACAGTTAAATGTGTTCAATCATACTGTATAATTCTGCACGTCCCGATGTGCTTTAAATTGCATCTGAAATATATATAATATATCGGGAAATATATGTGAACCATTACGCAACGAATTGACAATTGTTTTAGGTATGCCCGTTTGCGCTAAGACGGAACCCGGTCGCAAAAATGGCCACGACTTGGTCACGAATGCATGAAGTTCCCAAATCCAATCTTGTCGTTGAGCATCAACACAGCTTCTAAAAAAAATAATCCGACTCCTACCAAAAAACACCACAAAACACATATTATTTAGTTACTGGTTTTATTTCAACCATTGCTAACATATAGTTTAGAAACAGACACCTAGCTACATCCATACATCGCCCAACTGTTACCAGTCAGTCTTCCACTCTCGCCCACCTCACTAAAATCACAAGCGTAAGCCAGGAGAAGTATACACAAACTGTACAGAGATCTTCATCTTATAATCTTACTTTTTACAAAAGTTGCTAGAACCAGCAAGAGCTTACAAAGGCTTCCATTTACACTATGTACAATAGTAGCTTCATAGGTTGCACATTGCATTGGTTGTGGAGCAGTATCTCAACCAAATCAAACAACACTGAACATCAGAGTAGCTTGAGTCACATCGACTTCTCCATACTGGGAGCTGACATAATGACCTTGCACTGGGGAAACATACCATGGGCTATATTACACATTTGCACTTATCAACGATTAATGTTTTTTGTGTACAATGATATTGAAAATGGCAACATTGACAAAATGTAATTTAACATGATGGCTTAGGAATTACAATATATGGGTGGCTCAGTCGGAATGGAAATGATATGAAAGTACCGAACTGACAAACTCAGTATTAATTTTGAAGAGGAAAAGTATATTAGTCACTATGTAGTTTACTTCAAATGGTTATGAAATACACATGTATAATAGTCAATATTAGTCAAAAGCAACAACTTGGTGGTTTTATTTTCAATATATCAATTCAGTGATCCAAAGGAGGTGAGGAAGCAGAAAAGTCTCAAAAGGTTGAACTACTAAACAATTGGAAACATAAAAAAATTATCAGCGACAAACGCAGGGACCCGTTACAGCAGATAATACCAAGGTCAAAGCCCATCACAATCCATAGGAGCGAACAATTGTGTAATTTACTCATACCCCACTCGTTTCATGGACTGATCATAATTAAGCCAGAAGGGGGGATGGTCCTTGAGAGCAGGCTCCTTTTGTATTTGAATCCAGGAGACCCTAATTTTAACATCAGGGTCATGAGGGCCCCTTGGCTATCATACTAAATTTCAAACACTGGCATGCAACCAAGTACATGACCAAACTGACCACCATTTGGCAGAAATTCTTACTGGAAATTAAGTTGGCTAAATTATGCTTTTCAACTGATCATTCTTGGTTATTTAAAAAGAAGGAAAACAACTTTCATACATGACTCATGAGATATGTTCCAGATATACTGTGCCAAAAAGGGGTAAGAAGGAAAGTGAGTTGAAGTTCAATGCTTCTTTTAACAGTATTTCAGTTGATCAGCATGTGGGAGGACATCCTTGAAACCCATCTACATAACATTAGCATGGACACTGATGCTGACAAACCAAGCATCACGATCAAGAATAATCTGTCAAACTTCACTTCATAGTTGACCAAGCAGAAAGAATTTCAACTAGCTTAAAGGCTACCCACAAAATAAAAAACTGATGGGCTACCAGGCTAGCATGAAGTTGAACCCCTTACAAAAACCACTAACTTTTGAGACATTTCTGCTTCTATAGTGCAGGATTATATGGCAATATTGTCGAAAATAAATTATGGACAAAGTCACTACATAGAAATATGAAATACTGGAAGAACAATAGTGCCATTTCAAGTCATCTTGAAGCTGTGAGGATGCACCAAAACTACCATATCATTTAAAATACAAACATGCTTCAATATTGAAGAAATGAGTTCCAGTGATGTATAAACCTGATCTAATAATCTGTATTGTGAAAAGCATCCTGTGTATATCAATACCATGTCACTAATAATAATAACAATAATTCAGATGACCTCGAGTGATAACAGAAGTCCTGACGACAATTGGATGCTACAGAAAATTTAGTTGTGTATCAGTTTTGTTTTGAAGAATCATGTGCTTAAGACATTGCCCTCAAATCCACATTTGGCACAATGGAAAGATTACAAATGATCCAAATACATTCTCCTACCATACAGCCATCACAATCCTCCCACAGCAATCATTTTACTTCTGTTTGTTCCCATGAACAAAAGGATGCAGAAAAAAAGATGTGACAATCGGATATTGTTCAGCTGTCACACAAATAAGCACACTTAATTAATGTGAAAACAGACATCTGTATTTCCACCTTTGGTTATTTCAGAGTCTAGTGTACCAAAAAGAACAAAGTCTAAACAGAATTCAATTAAATAGATCTTTAATTCTAGTTTTGACCACTAATCACTAATACATGTTAATGTACAAGACATTGCTTCAAGAGGAAACTTGATGCAATATCTATTTTTGAAGATAACCGCTTATGCAACCAGATCACTTAGAGTTGGAACAAAACGTTGAAGGAGTTGAAAGTGAATCATAACCAATGTCAGGTGAAACAGGTTCTCTTGAGTTAACAAAATGTAGTCAAAGGTGTCTTGTCTAAATCCCATCCACAATATTCTTCATAAAGTATCTGGATATATAATTACTCACATTAAGAACATTTCTACAGGATTTTCAAACAAATCAAAGTTATATCAAATGATTTTGAAATAAAAAAATTCTAAAAAGATTGAAATAATTCAATTCCCTTTGAAAATATGGGGAGGAGGGGGTAGTGAAAAAATAATCCCAAAAATCTGCCAAACTTGAAACACGGACAAGTATAATGGATATAACTGTTAACTGGTAGAACTCTTTGGAAAATGGCAATCCACTCAAACTTGTCAGTTAGAGATTAACCTGTATAAATAAATTACATGTTGCGATGCCAGCCAGGATCAGCACTGGGGAAGGGATGCTCCAGCCGCTAGCCAGCACAGATAGCACAAACAGACCAGAAAGGTTAAAAGTTACTTTCTGCCACGCTTAGCTAGGTGTCTTGTACAGACCCGTGCTGAGTCACACCCATAAATAGCAGCAGCAGCCATCGAAATAAACATATCACTAGCACAAGAAATGTAATCAAATAACAAAGTCTGGTGAGTCCACTGTTGGTCTGCAAGTCCAGAAATTATGTAAAAGATGCTGGTTTGTTTCACTGCTGAAGAACAACGCAACAAGAATTAAATTAAAAATCTAAAACAACTGGGCTGTGTAGATATAGGTTCCTGTTTGGTGGGTGGTCATGTGGGTGAGGCTGCATCCAGTTTTATTGTTCTACGTGTTACTGCTGGAAGGCGTCAATGATGGCACAACTACACAAACAGCCCATATCAGATTGGGCATTTAACATTTGTGATTAGTACAATGACTTTAACGGATGAAACTTGGTGCAAAACATTCTTAATGAGGCGAGGAAAGAGGAAAAAACATACAAAATATGCTTCAATTGCAACTAAGTGAGTGCTTAATGCCTGGTCAGCAATTTTGCAGCTATTTGCACCATGAGCAACTGGTTGGTAGGCAAATGTTGAGCTTATTGTACACTGACATCTCCTTGCTTATTAACATCTTTGGTTCAAGTTTCTCAGTGCACAACATAAGACGAACAATTCTTAATAAATCAACAAACATTAATCAAAGCATAACCTTAACATATATCTTGGACGCTATGCTGCAGCCTTCACCTCTGACCTATTACCCACAGACCTCTTCTACAAGAAGCCCTTCCAGTCTAACAGTGTTCCCAGTTGCACTTCGACACATATGACTGTCGACTCCCGACCCACAACATACGACTGCTACTTTTCTCAACTCTAGGGTTGATAGAAGCAGTCAGGAGCTTCAGAACAGCGCTCGTCTGGACATGCTGGACATGCTTGACCTCTGACCCCTTCCCTCAGTCCTCAGCTCAGTGTCAGGATGGTAAGAATGTTGTACCCGGCTTCAAGTTGTCAATTTCACTTATTTGTTTATCCAAAAACAGTATCCTGAAACACAAGATGTTCATATCTGAATTTTTCTGTAACTTATTAACTTAAGATCATTTGTCAAATAAAACTGATACAACACAGAAGCTGACATTTCCTTAGAGAGGCCTGTTCCAAATCAGCATGTCATTGTGACCAGAACAAATAATTACTCATGACAATACAACAAGTTTTAATGATCATAAACATCAACTCAAGTAGTTTCAACAATCCATCATCCGCCTCAGTTCTTAGGGAGGTAACCTGAATTACCTCCCCTTCCAATATCAGTCGACGACAAAGTCCTATCAAGCTCAGGTCTTACTGAAGACCAATATGGCATAAACAAACAATATCTTTGAGTTGAGAACCAAGTTGGTGGCCTAAGGTGTCATCTCAAATTTATTTGCATAAACATCTGAATTTGATGTACTCTTGAGGACAATTCATGCACTTCTATAAAAAGTATTGATCAAAACCTCTTGTAAAGCCAAATTGCAACACTACACAGAGTCAAAAGATCCAGAATCTTCTAAATCTTCTAAGAAGTTGCATCAGCAGCCATGTAGATGTGAACATTTGCCAAACAATTTGATTTTCAATAATGGAAATGGCCATTTCCTGTAGTTGCAACCAAAATGTGTTCAACTGATGTAATATATCCAGACTCTGACAATTTTACTGTATTTGCAAAATATTCCAACCTTTGTTCATGTAGTGTGGACTGTATCTCAGCCACCCGCACAAGGGAGCGAGCTTTCTTCAGTTCCACCGACACCTGACTACAGTGAAGACTTCCCACATTAAGTGCTTCCTCCATGTAACGATTGGCCTGAAACAGAAAAATATGGATGTCAAGAAGGGCTTAAAATCTTAGAGGTTATACAGTTACAAAAAAAGCTACAACATCAATATGACTTGAAATATAAAGGGTTTCATATTCTTAAGCACAAACTGATTGTTTTCTAAAATGTCATTAAAAGTCCACAATCTTCATGGTGTATTGCATAGAGCATCTGCCTGGAAGATCTGTGTTTCTATCCCTGGCCACTTCATACGAAAAGACTCTTAAAGATTGCACTTTTTGTTACCCTGCCACTCTGTATAAAGGGGATAAAACAATAGGGCTGAAACGATATCCCGGGACACCGATGCATCGCGATTCACTCCATACGATACGGTGTGCGATTTGTGAGGTGCTGAATCTCGATTTTTCACGATACGTTTTTTTCAAAGACGTATATATGTACGTCTTGTATTTTGTAATAAACTTTTATCACGGATACGTTTTAAATGTGTTTTAACTCTTTCAATGCCGTAGGCCGCTAAACCGGCCAAGAAGCATCGAGTCCCTAGGGTCCGTAGGCCGGTTAACCGGCCAAGCCATAGTCACGTCAAAATAGTATATAGTTTTAAGAACCTACCTGTCATACCATTCATTTATTAAATCTATCACATCTCACAATGTCTGAAATACGTATTCTATTTCAATTTATCATTTTTTATCGATAGATTAAAAAGTTATTCACTATTTCCCGCAATGTCATTGAAAATATAATTCTCGGACTCACACTTCGACAACGGGTGCACATCGAACATGTCAAAGAGCAAAACAAAGACGTTTCAAGCAAATCTTTAAATATGTTATACAAAGTGATAAATAAATGCAATAAAAATATATCTAAAAGTGGTCAAACTTACAGCTAAGTTATTATTTCCATCTTTTCATGCGATCGCGTGTAATGTTAGTCAAATGACATCTCGGCTTTCGTCGCCTCGATTTCTCGGCTCGGACACGATGTTCAATGCCAAAATATATGCATGAAAAATCTTTGTCACAGCTTGTAACCTAAAATGATACATCCACGAAGCTCCATATTTTTAATATAGATCGCGATTTCCTGCTTAAAACGTTCAGAATAACACGATTTAACCAAAATATTTCGTAAAAATCTGAAATTCATCGTACACGAGGATTTGTAATTTGATTGCCTGCCTCAAGTCACGTGCTCAATTTGACCAATCATGAACCTTGTAGCAGATTTCGACAAGAAAGCGTCGTTAGAAACAATTTGTTATCCAATGAAATCTGATGTTATAGCAACGAAAAGACTCCAGGCAATGTCACGAGCGTGTAGATGAACAAACAAGCTTTCTTCGACGAACGTGTTATTCATACGAAGCTTTCAAAAACGGAGGTATCTCTTCATGTTACTGAGCGGACAGCCGCTGTTATCCGGAAATGGGTGAAAACAGATACTATTCATAATTCTTTTAAAAATATTTTAAAATAAATAAATAAATAAATAATGAAAATAAAAAAGAAATGATAAGTAGATCTTTTGAAATCTTATATTTGCCCCAAATCGTCAAATTTTCGCTTCTTTGGTCCTTAATTTGGACGTTATGAATGTGTTAGCTTACATTTTTTATAATTTACAACGAACTTAATTAAGTTGTCAATGCATTATTTAAATAATGTGATAAACATAACTTTCATATTTATAAACACCAGGATTAGACCTTTCAAATGTTGTATAACATGGCTGTTGCTATAATTGTTTTTAATTGTCTTTTGCCTTTATACATGAAAATGGCAAATCATTAGTTACTGGACACTGGTACATTTAGTATTTACTCCTACCATCTAGTCACAACTCACAAATATGTAGGACTGTTACTTTTGTGTTTGCTAGCCATTACATGGAAATCACAGATGATTTATTAAGTTAAATTACTCATTACAGTATATATTTTATGACTCATGAACATTCATTCACTTTCATTTAATTTTTCATTTTAATAAACTAAGTTATATTCATTTATCTCTTGTCTTCTCTTGTCACAATATGTTTCGTAGCGTATCGACATACGTATCGAATCGTGATGTAAGTATCGAGATACGTATCGTATCGTGACTTAGGTGTATCGTTGCAGCCCTATAAAACAAGGACTGGCCTTCTCTGGCGTTGGTAAACTGTGGCATGGTATTTCAGTGGGCTAGCAACATAAAACCTGCACAAGTCTGGACTGATACAAGCAGCCATACACATGTGCATGCACATCACAACATAAGTGACATAATCTTGGACGTAATGTTAAACCCCATTTAACTGTCACTACAAATATCAACCTTCCAGAAATATTTGTTCACCTGACAAGCTCCTCCTTACACTACATCCCTATCAGTAAAAGACCTTTGGTGCCACATCTTTTCAGCACTCTGCTGTGGTGCTGTGGTACTGTGGTGCTGTGGTGTTATGAGCCCTTTCATTAACCACCTTCACATCCCGACTGAAGACTGACATTTTTTTACTGTGTTTGTATGCATGAGGCGTGGAGTTACAGGGCTTACAAGTGGCATTATTATAACTTTTTTAAACCAATATCATACAACTGCTCAGGTGCCACTTGTTGCCCAAAAAATGACTGCAGTGAAATGAATGTGGCCACAACTAATGTAGAGCTTATCTTACCTGACGTTCAGCATGATCAGCCTGCCATCCCAGGACGTGACCAATAAGTTTCTCATTGTAGTAGTTGCTGAGTGACGGTGTCAACTCAACAGAGTTATCTTTCTTGATGGATGCTCCAGAGAGTGCACTCGTGGCAACAGGGAGGTTCTGAGAACTGGTGGTACTTGTAGTGGGGCTGTGACTGAAATCATCACAAACAGTTGCAATTTTAAATTTTATGATAAATTACACTAAAGCATTTTAATTCAACCAAACAAAACAAAAACAACTTTCCTAACTTGAACATCTCAGTTTGAGTACAGTTTGACTGAAAAGTTGAGATCGGTCTCTGTCTTTGCCATACTGTCATTTTCAGATACATGTTTTGAGCTAATTTTATAATGCAAACCACTTCGCCCATATATCAATACATTAGAAATCTTGCAAAACATACTGTAAATCTTGCAATGAAAGTATTTTTTCCTTTCAGTAGAAAGGGTACAAATGTAAAAGACTTTTTCAAAGATGACCACTTCAAGCATGAAAAGAACTACAGAAGAGCTGAGATTACATACCATGGACTGACATCCGAAATAGGGCTATCGTGTCCCCCTCCACCTCCGTTCTCTGGGTTGGGGTAGTGGGAGGACGAGGATGTAGCCGAATGTTGCGGATGTTGCTGGTTACCTTGGTTATGTTTCTGCAGTTGATGTGATTGTTGTTGTGGATGTTGTTGAGGACTGGAGTGTTGTTGGGGGAGATTGTTTTGTGCCCCTGCAGCAGAACATGAGAACTCATAAGCACAAAAAAGAAGAAGTCTTTGCATATTATGGATCTAACAGAATACTTCAAAGAACAGGGAACTGAACAAGTGTCAACACTGAACCAAAGATTAATCAAATTAAATGTCCTGTTACACATTGTACATGCATAACTCTTGTTTTCCTATATTTGCTCCAAATTGCTCATAATTAAGATCAAGTCATATCTTTGAAAAAATAATAATTTCCTATCACATATTTGTTAAATGGTGTAATGTTATGAGTCCAAGTACATTTTACACCACCTATTATATGTAACACATTTTGTTATTCAAACACTTACAAAACAAGCATCCAAATACAAAACTCTTGGAGATAGTAAGGTCTATAGAGTGTCAGAAATTCTTAAACGAAACTGATAACTTTTCATTTGTGTACATGTGTGAGTATGGTTTTACGCCGCTCTTAGCAATATTCCAGCAACATAACGGCGGGGAACACCAGAAATGGGCTTCACAAACTTTCCCATCTGGGGAATTGAGCCCGGTTTGGACGTGATGAGCAAAAGCTTTAACCATTAGACTACCCCCTTGGGTAAAAAAAGGAACAAACCTTTTTCTATTTGGGTGATTAGGTTTTATGACCACAATAGGAGGCAAAAACAGGTAGTGACTGCATACAAAGAAATGGTTACTCCGCAAACATTAAGTCAAATTAGAGAAATGGGAAACAATATTTCCTGTTACCTAAAAATTCAAAGACAAGCTCAACATCAACTAGATTTGCAAAATTAAATAAATTTTGTTATTAAGAACAGAAAAGCATAAAAAACCAAAATGTCATCCATTTGTAATCACTTATATCATCACTGATAGATAAAAGTAGCAAAACTCAACAAAGAATATAATTATCACATTTGATATCAAGAAAAGTAAGATTTTGATCCACAGTAATGAACTTTTCTGAAAAAACAAAAAAACAAAAAACAATTTCTATGACAAACTCAGGCAGAAAGAGAACCGAAGGATAAATATAAGATCTTGACTAGCTAGACTACAGAAGTATACACTACACTAGATGACAACTTACAATTCTGTTGGGTGCGAGCTATGTGCATGTTGAGAGCCTCCTGTAACTTCTGTAAAGTCTGCAGGGCAGCTGGAAGACACAGATGTACAGGGTAACCTCTGTCTTACACCCTTGTCAACTAGCCTACTACTTAAAACCTTTCACATCGGAGACAGGGATATATTGTGGATTCCAAATAAAGTGACTTTGACAGACAAATTGGGAAAAATGCTATTTTATTTAAATTTGCATTTGAAATATTTTAAATTTTAACACTGAATAATGTAAAAAACTAAGGATTAAGTGCCTTCACTTTTAATGGCAATGAAATTAGTGAAACATAAGTCACCCCTTCAAAGCCATAACATTAGTTATAAATATAGTAACATGAATTGGGAATACTTTTTCTCAATTTGGGAATTTAACTGATATTTGCTGCAGACTTGTTGCCAACTATTGACCTCTGAGCAGGTCCGGTTAAATTCCTGGTATAAAATATTCTGTTGACTACATAACATGCATTCTACTACCACACAGTTCTTTTAGATTGCTTTGAGTAATAATTCCGCTGCATGTCACAGTTGTCAAGACAGCCTGTAAAGTCTATTTTTACACATTTTTGAAATACCATATCAATCTTGATAGTAAGGCTGGGATATTATACACAATTTATTACTTTAAAGAGAACATACAGAAATTTAAAGACCCAGCAATGTTGTTTTGTATTGAGGCAATCATAATACAGTTGACAGTGGTAAGTAAAGTGCTGAATCAGTGAATAGTCGCTGCATGACTTTAATGGATGACAGCAGGGGTCCGGAAATCGTCATATGCGCCGGACATGTCCGATTGGGAATCTCAAATGTCCGGTTTAAAATATTGCTTACCAGACTTTTAAATTTTTTTGTCCGGACATTTTAAAAAGTATTGTCCGGACATTCTTAAATTTTGAAAGGACATGATCAACAATTAGGACTGAGCAGTTTCTGTCTGCAGTTGTAACACAATGAAGTTAATCTACACTGACAAGCTTTTTTTGTTTTGATTGCTGTAAAAATACATCGTACCTACATGCTAGTCCAATCGGTCAATCACTGTAATAGGCAATAAACTGAGTTGACACAGATTAATCGACTATTAACTACTGAGAACATCTTGTTAATTTGAGTGAAAGGTGTTTACAACTGTACATAAATACCTTGCATCATCGATGTACCTCATTATCCTCACAATGCTATGATACGTAACCTCAGACAAGAAGCGAAAGCGTGACGACAGCCAGTCGACCGATGCAGATCAGTCGAGCGGATCTGCCAAACCCTTAAAGTCTGGACGATCATTTTGTAAGTCGTGGCTAACGTCTTTCACTTGGTTGACATACAATGAGGATTTGCAGATTTTATTGTTTTCAGTAGCTAGTCGTATATTGAATCTTGATTGACCGCCATTTTGCTTTCTGTGACGATCGATAGTCAAATTTTTTTATGGTCAATAATTAAGAACAGATGAAAAAAGTATTCAAATAATTATTGCTATCAAAGATATTTTAGTATTTGTGATTATATTATCTATCTTGTTTTTAAATAATCTTTAGTTATTTGAAAAAACTTTTATTCTGTGAGGTCACGTGATAACCAAATATGGGATAATAGTCTCGATCCAAATGTTACAACGCGTACACTTGAGCAGACTCATGAATATTAATTAGACCATTCACTACGTTAACAGATCGTTATTATAACAGAAACAAAGGTATGTTTTCCATGTACATCTAAAATGTATATCTAAAATGATATTTTTTGTTATTAATTGTCCGGTGAATTAACAATTTAAATTAAAACAATTCATAATTGGTTTTATTATGAATACGTAACAACTTGTAATGTGTGTGAAAGGTTGTACTAAAATACGCTATTTGAAGGGGGCGTGGCCTAAATGCAAATGTCCGATTGGGATTTTATATGTTCCGGATTTTCCGGACTGTCATCCAGTACTACCAACAATTCACTGAGATACCAAAACATCACCATGGACTGTCCTTTCATGTACTATCAACAGTCTAGCTTAGGACAAATTGCTAAAGTCACAGAGTCCAGTAAAATTTCTTTCGGTCTAGCAAGCTATGCAAATATAAAAGCTATGCAAATATTAGTCCATTAAAACTTGGGGGAAAATGATACAACCATGCATTGTGAGCTTTCATGTGACGTTAAGATACAGAATACTTTTTTTCTGCATTGATACAAGACGATACATATTACATTCATATATTTATAAATAAATAACATACTACTCATTGAACGAGCCCAGTTGATTTGTTAGTTAAATATTGCGAAAATTGTTTCAATTAGTGTTCAAAATCACTACTAAAAATAGCCGCTACGAACAGGAGTCTACAGCCAGCTTTTCCTTTAGAACCTGCTCGAATATTTATAGTCATGAAGATTCGACCCGATTTGACATAAATATCTGAACCCTGATACATATCGTTTTGTGACCTTGTGTCGTTTCACCCCTAATAAACAGTAAGATCTACTGAAAATGATCTTAGGTGCCAAGTTTGGGCTAATCAACTCTGAAGCGTTTGGCACAGACAATATGATGGGGAACAGCACCCAGATTGATGTCAGTGTATTGTAACTTATGTGTTCATGGTGAATACCTAACATTTTTCAGGCAGTTGGTTGCTATACAATCTGTCTCACTATACACTGGTGTTGACTAAATATGTATCATATATTATCATACTCATAGGGACAGTGAGACATATCTTATACGCATGTGATATTCCATCATATACAACTTGAAAAACAACTTTGCACTTGTGTGATATCGAGTATGGTGCACACTTTAAGAACCCACCAACCCACCCCCCAAACACAGGGGTTGCTCATAATACATGCATTCAATGAGTTTTTTCTCCCAAATCAAATACACTACCATGAGCATGTCAACATATCCGTACTGAAGTATGCAAGTTAATCCTGTCAAAACACTATCTAGGAATAAAAAGTGTTCATTGTAAAACTGGACCTAAGTTTGTAATCTATCAGATTACCACTATTGATGCCTTGAAACAAACCATAGTTTTCAGAGGATGTTTGGTTGGTTTGTTGTTGAACACCGCACTCAGCAATATTCCAGCTATATGCTGGCGGTCTGTATAAATAATCCGAGTCTGGACCAGACAATCCAGTGATTAATATTATTAGCATCGATCCAAGCAATTGGGATCGATGACATGCATCAACCAAGTCAGCGAGCCTGACCACCGGATCCCGTGAGTCATCTTTTACGACAAGCAGAGTCACATTTTACGGCAAGCATAGGTTGCTGAAGACCTATTCTACCCCGGAATGTTGACGGTGCTTTCAGAGAATGGATTTGTAGTTTGACTTTTATTGTCAATAAGTCAACATATTGTTTTTGTAATCAAAATAAGAAGACTGCATACAGCCTCAAACATTGACCCCTCAAAGTGATCCATGTGAAAAGAATACTCTGCATTATAACAAAGTGCTATGCTTATGGTTATTATCAATTCAAATATGTATGGTAAAAGCTGCAGCAAAATTAACAATATCAAAATATTCCATTCCTGGTGAAATAAGTTACAGATACATTTTTTCTGATCTTTGCATCAAATTAAGTCATAATATTGGGCATTTTTTTTAACTGCATCACCAGTTGATCAGAGACAAAATGTGTGTACAGCCGATCTCGCTTAGTTTACAAGAAAATTACATATGGTAATCACAATCTTTGCATATAAAACAATGCCTACCATAACAAGAAATACAGCTGAAATTTTAAATCATGATGTCTAGTGACGTTTTATTGACAACTTCAAATTTTTGTAATCTCACCAGAAGCAATACGATGTAGTTTTACATGAAGAAGCAATAGCACATAACACCCATGTTCATTCCATACCCAAGAAAATAAGGAACATCATGCCAAAACTTAGCAAGTTCCATTTTCAGGTGCAGGGGTCCTTGGTCCTTGAATTTGTTGCTCTTGTATTTGAATCTACAGGTTTAATAACCTTATAAATCTTTAATTCTTAACATGAGGGTTATGACAAGAATGCCTTTTCTTCGATGTTAAATTTAGAACACTGCTTGATTTTACAAGTATTGTGATGAATGCATTCAATTTTAGCATCATATTCACGTGTCATGACAGCTAAAATTTCATCTGAGCCTAATATCTTGTACATCAGAGACGACCAAACTGACACCAAAGGTAATTAAATAGGACCAAGGATGAGCAGAAATTTGCCACATTGAAGGGTTTTGCTATATGTCATCATAAGGACTAGTGGAGTACAAATATTCACTTCAATCGTTGATATTGACCAAAAAAAAGGGTTGATATATTAACAGTATAACACCAAAAACTCCTGAGAGTGATGTCAAAGGACAGCTTCAGGCTACCAGACTTTTGGCACCAACTGTATAGAAATTGTTCTGTAATTGGTACAAGAACTACCCTACTCATCCTCAATTATCCAGTGTATCTTATCTCCATTCTATGTTAGAGATATCTAGGACCCATTCCTCGACATAGCTTCATTATGGAAGTGACATCATCATCCATATCTCACATATTACTAACTTAGCACTGAATTTCTCTCTCATCAGCTTGAAATCAACAACCAATAAAATTGCTTCTTATGAATGCAAGTTCAGAACAGATCCACATTCAACATCATGGTCTCGTGGGAACAAGCCCAGGTAAACATAACTGATTTTTTTGTCAAAAAGTTGTCTTTATATTTATGAGTATATTAACACAGGGAGCGAAGTTTTTAACAAACAAGACATTCTCCATTGTATTTGAGACGATATTCCACAAGCCGAGTTGAGTGTTCCGATGACATCGCCATTTGTTTCAACTGTGATAGAACAGTGTAAACTCATTGGCCAGCTGTTTTTAGCACAGGTTATTTAAACCAGACACAAAATGAAGCAATGGTGGCAAATGGGTCCAGCGTATTTATCATGATGTAATGAGCATAAAGTACACCAGAAAACTGAGGAGGCCTCCTAGCTCTTCAAAGCTGTCCGACCAAGGTTAGAGTGTCCTACCTGTACATGATGATGCCTTGACTCCACGTGTACTGGTGGGAGTGCTACCTGGAGAGATCTCCATGTCGTCTGCATGATTAGAATCTGGAAGCAGAAGCAATGCAATCCTTCAACAAATGTGTCTACTGAGAAGAATCATCTCTTAAATGCATCGTGAAACACTGAATACTTTGTTTCAGTTTCTTCTAACTTCATCTCATACAAATAGGAGATGACATCTTGACTTGATTCTTCTATTTTGTTTGGTTGCTGTTTACTGCCCCACTCTGCAATACTGAAGCTACATGATGGCAGTCTGTAAATAAGTCTGGACCAGACAATCCAGTGATTGACATCATCAGCATGGATCTATGAAATTGGGATATGATGACACGCATCAATCAAGTCAACGAGCCTGACCACCTGATCCTGTTAGTCGCCTCTTCTGACAAGTATAGTCGCCTCTTATGACAAGCATGTGTTTCTGAAGGGCAATTCTAACCCAGATCTTCACGGGTCTCTTCTATGAATCTTATATGATTCATTTGTTCCATTAAGAAACATTCACAGAATAGAACTTGTTTTATTTGAACCAGGCCAGAGTGAGTGAGTGAGTGAGTTGGACTTAATCCTGCCTTGAACAGTTTTCCAGTTATATCATGGCTTGTCAGCTCAGTTAATGTGGGAGGAAAGCCCAAAGTGATGCAGGTCTTAGATGTTTACCACTTTGGTGAAACCCACGAGCACAAGTGTGGTGCTGCTTCACACGTACATCACAGTGTCTTAACATGAGAAGAAGCCCTTAAAGTATGCAGGTTGTACATGTTTATATCACCTTGTGAAATCAACAAGCAAAGGTATGGCTGCCTAACCAAGGATCCCTATCAGGTTCAGTCTTGAATTCTAATCTGCGCAGCAAAAGCCTCCAGTCCATCCATCAATGTATGCACCATTGTTCGATAAAATGATTCAAAATAACTATTTTGACTTTGACTTTCAGTCAGGTGAGCTACAAACACCAAAACAAGTCCTATTCCACCGAGATATTCATGACATGGACCAGGAACTATTTACATACGCTCCAGGTAGGCGATCAGAATACATAAATGAACACAATATTTCAACTGACTGGCAGTTTGCAAAATGAAACCCTGCGTGCTCAAAAGCAGGGGTTGATAATTTATTAAAAATGTTACTTGACCAAGGTTGGTTGGTTGGTTTGTTGTTTAACGCCGCACTCAGCAATATTCCAGCTATATGACGGTGGTCTGTAAATAATCGAGTCCGGACCAGACAATCCAGTGATTGATATCATGAGCATCGATCCACACAATTGGGATCGATGACATGCATCAACCAAGTCAGCGAGCCTGACCACCCGATCCCGTTAGTCGCCTTTTACGTTGGTTGGTTGGTTCGTTGTTTAACACCGCACTCAGCAATATTCCAGCTGTATGACGGTGGTCTGTAAATTCCAGCTGTATGACGGTGGTCTGTAAATAATCGAGTCTGGACCAGACAATCCAGTGATTGATATCATGAGCATCGATCCACGCAATTGGGATCGATGACATGCATCAACCAAATCAGCGAGCCTGACCACCTGATCCCATTAGTCGCCTTTTACGACAAGGAGAGTCACCTTTTACAGCAAGCATGGGTTGCTGAAGACCTGTTCTACCCCAGAATCTTCACGGGGCGCCTTTTACGACAAGCATAGTCACCTTTTACGGCAAGCATGGGTTGCTGAAGACCTATTCTACCCCGGAATCTTCACGGGTCTACTTGACCAAGGGCAAGTATGACCAACATTTTTACTTGCATGTCTTAAAATGCATTTGCCCAAAATCCAGTTATTATGTTATTAGCAAAATGTTACAATTACAGAAATGAGAATCAGATACCCAAAGGTAGCATTTTAGCGAGGGATCACTGTAGTGGATGTTCCACGAACTTTAGTCGACAGGGAATGGATACATATATCATAAATGTCATACTCGGACTCGTTAAAAGTCATCTTTGTTGTAGTTTGACTATGTGTCAACAAAGTTTTTGCGATTGAGTGCATGTGTTACTGATGTATTCAAATAATATATTTCATCAAAACTAGGCCTAACGAAGCTTCAACAGTCAGCACTAGACCTACCTCGCGTTATAAATTGTAAGAAATGTAGTCAACTGTCCGTCATTCAATTTCCAAGAAGCATGCGTCATATATGGAAGCGTTACTATGATTTATCAATGACACAAGCCTGGTTATCATTGTTGACCTGCCTGACATCGAGGTGTATTAATCCCACTGGTTGACTTGTGTAACTGTATGCAAATAAGATTGCCAGTGTGGGACACTAGCAAAATATTAGCCAATGAAATACCGTAACATGATCACATGAAACCCAGTTAATTTTGTGTGCTCTACTTGTCCATGGGCATGCTAGAAAAACTATATCACTCGCTTGGCGTCTAAACCTTATTTATTGGTATTTTTTAAGCCCTGAAAAGGCTAACAAGGAGCATCTTAGTTTCATACTGCCTTTTCCCCAAAACAGAATCTACACAATATATTAGATACAGACAACTTGTAACATCACAGTTTTAAGTTCATATATTACCTCACACTGGTTCAAGATTAAAGGCCACCACAATATAAAAGTATAATTATCAAATCACAGCATATCTGTTACAAATCTGAACATGGGTGATGCACAATATTCATTTAATTGATGTTATTGGTGGGTTTGTTTGATGAGGCAGTTTCATCAGGACACATGCTTATGTCAAGGCAATGGTAAAGTGCCAGGAAAACTGAACAATTACCGGCTAGTTTACTGTTTTGTAGAAACCATTAGGGCTGCAACGAATACACTATGAGGCGAATACAATTCGTATCATGAATATTGGGAAACAAATAAGAATATTAATTCACGAATACAGTAACAAGTCAGCAGTTGATGTATTGTTTGGTATGTTCAGTGAAGCAATAACAACAAAATATTTGACATGGTTTGTTAATTATTAAAATATTATAAATTTCTATACTGCACTTATCCAGGTACTAGTATCTGCTCAAATGCGACAATGACCAGTGACCACAATACTGTCAAGTATAAGAGTGTTGTCTTTTGAAAAATCTATGCATATAATATGTTCTTATGGATATTTTTATGTTAATGCACATGATTGCATATTCATAAATATTTGATTCCAGTGGCCACGAATAACGAATTCAATTCATGAATGGATACAGTTCGATTCATCGAATACGCGAGTGAATCTTAACAGCCCTAGAAACCATGATAACAGCTTATACACCATCATCATTGCCACCATGACAAATTGCCTAATGTAACATCAGGGATAATTCTAGGGGGAGCCCCTAAATCTGAAAAAAAGGCCCACATTTTCAAATTTGTTTGTTAGTTTGTTGTTTAACGCCGCACTCATCATATTCCAGGTATATGAAGGCAGTGTGTAAATAATCGAGTCAGGACGGGCCAATCCAGTTATTGACATCATGAGCATTGGTCTTCCGGTTGGGATCTGATGACATGCGTCAACCAAGTCAACGAACCACCCGATCATGTTAGTCGCCTCTTACAACAAGCATAGTCGCCTTTTACGGCAAGCACGGGTTGCTGAAGACCTATTCTACCCCGGATCTTCATTTTCAAATACAATGGGGCATTTTAACATTGTCCTGTATGGGTGTACTTCTGGAACATTTGAAATTATAACATGAAGGGCCCATGTCAGAAAATTCTTAGAGTGAACATAACATAAACATAAACAACAACAACAACAACATAATAATAATGATGATAATGATGATGATAATGATAATAATAGTCCACTTATATAGACAATACACAATGTAAGCTCAATGCACACAAGAAAGGTTTCAGTTCTCTCAATGAAGGCAAGCTTGCAATGTACAAGTAGAATTTTGGATTTGAATTTTGCAGGCTTCAAATTTATCATTTGTTTCAGATGTTTTCATTGGAAATTTAATATGGGACACATCTTCAAAATATAGAAATGATGTCAGTGTACCCGTTTGGAGGTAAATCTGTGCTTTGGACCATTATTTGTGACTGTCCGTCCCTGTGGACCAGCAAACAAATTACTGAATACATTGTAGTTGAACAAAATATCGGTGATAATCAAATAAAGAATATTTTTCGAACGAAGTCAGCTTGTCTTTTATCATGAGGGTTTCCCATTGTTTATTCTTGGTGCAAGAAAATAACATTTTGCTTTGCTTTGAGGTTAAATATCTATTTGATCTCGAACCAAAGTGAAATATTCCAAAAAAGAGAGAAAATAGTGACTGAACTTTATGTGAAAGACTTGTAGATCTATGAGAGATAACTTCAATGAATTTGTCAGCCATGAACATACACAGCATTGAACATGATGTTAAAAGAATTAAAGCCACGTAATTTTCATATGTTGTTTCATTTGTTCAAAGATGGGACTGACAAAAATTTGTTTAAGGTCTGGTAATTTTTAGAGTTGCAAGTCCACTGTCAAAAGCCAAAGCCAAAAGGAAAACTGCATGTATAATGAGTGAGTTGGGTTAATTGCAATGTATGCATCATGCCAATTCAGTAACAAGCGTATAGTTGACAAAGTCATCTATATCCCCCGCCCATTTTAACATGTTATGGTCCCAAACCAGGTAACTGACCCAACATTTCTCTTAGCCCATTTCAAAATAGCTGCAATGGAAATTCTAAAATAAACATTTCTAAAACTCCTTAATATAAAATGGCACTAGTTCAATATGCGGTTTATATATAGACATGCAATGTTTGGCAAGGAAATATTTAACAGTTTATTTGTTATACTACTTAAGTAAACCAATCCTATATTAAAACTTAAATCCAACTTGTTGTCATGGAAACAAACAATAAAAAATTCTAAAAGTGCTAATTATCAAAAGGCACCAGTTCAGTATGTGCCTGGTAGACATGCAAAGTTTTGTAAGAAAGTATTCAACGGTTTTTGAGTTACACTCTGGAAACGAACACCACCCCTGTAGAACCTAAGTCCAACTTATTGCCATGGAAACGTGAACAAAAATAATTCTAAAATTCCTAAATAGC